TGTAACAGTAAAGAGGAGACAAGGTTGTATTCTACCACTTCAGCCCCCAACTTTGCTGTAGGAGCCATCTATGAAGCATTGTCCTCTTCCTCATTGTCTGTTACTGTTTGCAAATCTGTAGGCGAGAGGGGTCATGTCTAGTGCTTGGCTTCCAGCTTGGAAAGCAGGACTGCAGAGGGGCACTGTCTCTCCCCAACTTTTTGTTCCTGCAGCAGAGAATGACCTTGCACGAGTGCATCCCTCATTTTAGCAAGAGGCTATGTCTTCGCTCCATCATCTGGCATTTCACAAACATCCTGCAGAGAAACAAGTCTCATCCAAGCCCCTGAGACAAGCCAGCTCTCATTGGAGGCACAGTGTTTGCTATCAGTGCCCATGAGATGTTCCTCTCTTGTGGCAACGTAGGCAGGTGGTGCAGGAGGAGTCCTGCTTGGGCACCCCAGTCCTCTGAAGGAGGCCATGGATTAGATCTGAGGCAGCACATAGTTCTCGGCATTTTTTAAGGCACAAACAGTGGGAACTGTACCCCCTCTTCCCCAGTGTGTAGAATGAGCCAGCCAGCTTACGGCTGAAAGGGTTTTTCTGGACAGGTGAAATCACCATATACTAATGTATCCCTGTGTGTATTGTACACCACTGTTAATTGCTCCCTTCATTCCTCATTTTTCTCTTTAAGAGCCACCACCAGAGCTTTGCTGCACTCAGACTAAATTTCTATGGTCCTACTTATGTGTATTTGTAGTATTTGTGAAGAGGAGTAAAATCAACCGTAGAACCTTAGGAGGGGGGGGTGGAGGGGTTAGACAAAGGGGCAGGGGGTGGGGGGAAACAGCTCGGCGGCTCCTGGACCGCTTTGGGAGCATCCGTGCTGCCGGCGGCCGGGGGAGCCTGGAGATGACCCGGCCTGAAGCAGCGGGAGGGCTGCGGTGGGGGGCTGCCTTGCTGCTGGGGAAGGCCTGTGCTGCCCCGTGCTTGGTCTTGGTGGAGAATAGCTTGGGAGCGATGGTGAAGTTGCAGATCTGGTTTGGATTTGGTGAGCTGGTGGTGATGGCCTGGGGAGGGGGGTCAGGGTGGGGTGACTTCAACGATGCTCAGCAGAGTGGGGTGCAGAGCTCACTGGAGCTATTGGGTATGGCAGCTGCAGGAGGGAAAGAACAGGTTGGGGCTGTAGGAGGGGAAGCATGGGGGTACCTGCCGTGGTCCCTCTTGCTGATGCCAGGGGAAGGGGAGGGATCTAAGTTTGTCCCAGAGTGTTAGCACTTCACTTGTCCTAATATGTGGCAGTGCTTGGGCTCAGCACATCTAGCAGGCTGTGTAGTGCAGCTCTTCTCCTTGCTCCTGAGGGGATGAGGAGGCTTCCCATGGCTGGGCTGTGGCCAGAGGGAGCTTTCCAGACCCACTAGAGGTCCTCCTGTCCCTGGGAAAGCAGGAGCTGGGCACAGCTCTTGGAGGGCTGCACAGGGGTGTGCAGACTTGCTTTCTCCCAACAGCTAGGAGCTCCTCAGGGGGGTGGTGGAGAAAGCTGGGTTGCAGCAGTGCTTTTGCTTTACCCAGCCTGGAAAGTTTCAGGCCACTGGGGAGCTATTAGAGTAGAATAGCTTCAGCTGGAGTGGCTGAGGACACCTCTCCTGGGATGTCCCTGTACCTTGGCAGATGGAGCACCCACACTGAGGGAGAAGATGCCAACTCAGATATGTCCTGTGACAGGAGAGAGTGATCCAGCCAGTATCTCATCTGCTGAACAGTTGAAAAAAAGGATGGAGAGGAAATCTCACATAGCTGTCTTGTAGGTGTGCTCCTGAGCAGAGCCCTGCAGCAGAGGAGCTACTGGATTTTGGAGGAGCTAGCATCACTCTGGAGAATCCAGATCCCCTTTGAGTCCCTGTGTCCCTTGCTATGTGCTGAGGAAGCACCTGCACCTTGCCTCAGCCAGACCCACGGCTTGTCAGTGGGCCTTCTCAACATATTGCTCAGTTCAGGGCTGGGATCATCCTGTCAGGTGTTGGATGTCATGTCACTACAAAGCTGGAGTGGGGGCACCTGGCTCTATTGCTACTGCTCTGCCTGATCTTCAGCCTCTTACCTGGCCCTTACCAGGTCCTGGGTTTCCTCGCAGCGTGCTTTCTCTGTCTTGTGCTGGTGAGACCTTTTTTGGTGGTGACACGCACTCATAAGAGACTGCAAACAAGGCAACGAGAGGAAAGAAGCTGTGGCTTGTCTCTGGGCAGGGTGTGAAGAGGCCCAGGACTGTAGGCCTTAAGCTGCAGGAACATGGTTAGTCCTCCCTTTTACTCCTGTTGCTTCCTTTATTCCTTACGGTGTGCATGGTGTCCATCAGGGGGCTATTCGTTATCCAGCTGCCACTACCCCCTCATCTGCACACACTGAAGGAAAGCCTGGGCTCTCCAGCCAGCTCCCCCCAAGGAAGAGGCTCTTGTGCCACTGTTGCTCTTACCTTAGCCTCTTGCCACTGCACTGCTCATCATCTTTTTGCCATGCTTCTGGAAATGGTAAATACACAGTCGTCCATGTTGCTGCAGGATACCTAAATCAACTTTATTCACAATCACAGTTATCCAATTTTTCACAATGAGTTATTCTTTTCTTTAAACAGAACACAAAACATCTTAAAGTAAAGCAATGAAATGCAAATGACACAAGAACACAGAGGTACGTGGGAACCTACACCAGTCAAACAAAACAAAAGGTTAGGATTGTTGTTACTGCTTTTGCTGTGTTTTTTCTCCCTGGAGAGAGCATTGCTCTCCTCCCTGCTCGCAACTGGAGGCCAGCTGATGCTGGGAGCAGGACTTAACCCCAATTTTTGAGCTTGGATGCTGGGGGATGCTTTCAGCTTCTGCTAACTCCTAGAGTTTGGTCCACAGTAAAACAAACACAGTTATATATTAAAACACTCTGAATTTGAAAGGTGAGAGGGGAATTCACACCACTGCACTGGTACTCATGGATGGAGTTTCTTGAAAAATAAAATATACCCCTTGGCTTGCCCTGTGTGGAGGGGAACCAGTCCCACTGGTGTGGTGAAGGCTCGGGAGGCTGCTTATTGCACGTTTCCCCACATCCACTGCTTCATTGACACCTTCCTACATCTTAGGTTCCTTCTTTCTGAAATCTTTGCACTGGAGTTTGTGTAACTACTGAGACAGGCTCCCTGTGTCTGCCGGTCGCAGCTCTGTCCTCAGGCAAGCGGGAGGCTGGCTGTGTGCCTGCTGACCGGCCGTGCTTCTGGCAGGGCTGCTGTGCCCCCCCCCGGCCTGTGCCAGCCTGGCCTCCTCCCACCCCTCAGTGGGCAGGGCACCCTTCAGAGCTATGGCCCTCCGGGGCTTTTGACAGCCGGCATGGAGGGCACGGCAGGGCTGGGTTAGGGGTGTACGCGAGAGGTATGCAAAGAAATAACGTAAATCCCTGTAACCAGAATATCAGCGTTCAAGTTAGTTACCGCCTGCCGTGGCGGGCTGGGGGTGGCTGCAGACCCCCGTGGTACTGCAGTGATGGCGGTGCCTTTAGAGAAAGGCTCTACAATGCATTCTCCAGCGAGTAGCCTCTTTTTATTTCCTCGAGAGAACAGGGTGAGGACATGTTTTCCAGGCGCTTTTGGGAGCATCCTCTGTGAGTGCTCCTTCACCCACCTGCTGCCTGGGGGACACGATGTCACCCTGCAGCAAGCGGCTGTGTCTATTAAATGCTTTTATCCCTATGCCGTGCTGTTCCCCCATGTCCTATCAGTGGCCGTATGCTGGGGCGCAGGAAAAGGCTCGGCAGGAGGGGTGCAAACTCCATGGACTTCCCTGACCTAGCCTGATGGGCAACATTGTGAATGCTACTGCTGCTGCACCCCAGTCCTGATCATGCCACAGAGCCCAGACACTCTCTCTTCCTCCCACATGGCCCTGTAAGGCAGCAAGATGGGGCCGGAGGGGAGACTGGCAGCTCCAGCCATTGTGGAGTCACCCTGTCTGGGCCCAAGGGTCAGGCTGGTGGCCATGGCAAAGTGGCGGTTGTTACAGCAACCATGGGGGCTGCCATTGCAGGTGCCACCCATGGGGACAGCGGGGTTCCCAACTGGGACAGGAGGGAAGGGGATTTATTTCAATAAACCGAAGCAAACCAAACCCCTCAAGCTATTTTTTTCCTTTCCTCTCTTCGTAACAGGTAAGGACAGCCATGTCCTGCCAGCGGGCTGGCTGTGAAGGGCTGAGTACCACCTGGCTGGTTTTGTCTTAAAGCACAGTGATAAAGTTACCAGTAAATGAAACCCGCAGACATGTGGGCTTATACATTCTTCCCCAGTGGGGCTGGGGTTTTTGTTTCTTTCTTTCTTTTATTTTCTCCCTCACAAGTGCTGTCTGGATGGTAGGGGGAAGAAAGGCGAAGGAGACACATATCCCTCTCCCGCAGGCCCATGGGGGCAGAGATGGCAATGAATCCCTCGTGCTGCGTGGAGACTATTCAGCACAAGCCACAGCAAATGGGTGGTGGTGGGGTTGAAGAGCCGCTCATCATGCAACAGGATGGGACAGGAGGTGGCTGGACGCTGCTGGGAGGGAGCAAGGCCAGTGCCAGTGTTGGCTGCCAAATCCGCCATGAATGCCTCCACTGGGGGACAGTCCTCAAGGGGCTGCCATGGGGCTGCTCTTCTGCTTGCAGACATGGGGTGGGTTTTTGCTTCACAAGTCTTGTGTCCTTTTCTGCACTGTCCCCAGCCTTTCCGCTGCGAATGCGCTCACTGCACCTCACTTGCTGGGTCAAAGCTTGCCTTGCTCCGTCCTGTCTAAGGGGCTTCCGACAGTCAGGCCAGTTGTACATGGAAACATGTTGCTTTTTTCTCCTCTTCTGCTCAGCTGTCCTCTGCATGTGGGGTGTCTCTTGAAGGACATGTGTAGCACTGAACCTTTTACTGCCCCTGCTAAACATTGGAGGCTCCGCTCCGCTGTGCATGATGTAGAAAAGGGATGATTGCACCAGCTGGGTTTTTTTGAGATAAAGTTTAAAATCCACAAGGGAGAGTAGTCCCTCACAACTTCCCTGACACACTGGAGTTCAGCCCCAGGGCTTGCTTGGAGGATAGAAGAGCAGCGTCTAAGCTTGTCTCATCCGCTGTCCATTGAAGAGGGGATCAGGGTGGTGGTGGGTGATGGTTTTTGAATCTCCTGGATGATGAATAGAGCCCAAGACCTGTGTTGTTTCACAGCCTCCTCCCCACCTGCCCAGTCCCCACCACAGCATCTGGTGCTGCTCTAAGTGCTGCGGTATGTTTTGATGATATCTTTGATGGCCCGTCGGCAAATGGGGCAGCAAGCATTGGCCATCTTCTTGAGCTTCAGCCCACATGAATAGCAGAGACACATGTGTCCACAGGAGTAAATGACCGTGTCTACCATGTTCTCGTAGCAGATGGTGCATTCATCTCCCCAGGGCCCTGAGACGGACGGGGAGATGGGTGACTCAGGCAAGCTGATGGGAGAGTTGGGAGCTGTGCCTGAAACACAAAGAACAGGGTCACTCATGCTGCTTAAAAGGCTTCTTGACATCCCAGGGTAATTTCTGCCCTGAAGCCTGCTACAGAGGGAGGAACCATGCCCTAGCAGAAATGGATGCTCCAGGATCAGACATTCCTTCCTGTGACCTACTGTCCCACTCGCTGAGCCCTGGTTCACATGCCAAGGCTCAGGGCAGCAGAAAGGCAGCATCTGCTGGGATCTGCTGCCCACGTAAAGCAAACCAAGAGACAGCTGTTCCCACGCAGCAGGGACAAAGAGCAGTTTCACATTTTCAAACCACTGTCTAAACATTAACAAAGGAGGAAAAAGCAGGGGGGGGAGAAATCAATCCATCTGCTTTGAAAAGGGAGAGGCCGGTGGCACATGGTGGCAGCAGCTCCCAAGACAAGCAGCGCTTCATCTCTAGGACCAATCCAGGGATGTGGGACCACAGTGCCTGGATATAAATTCCGCTGTGTGGATCCTTCGGGACAGGGGTGGGGTGGTACCCACATGGACAGCATCTAGCTCATAGCGGGTCATTGCTTCAGGATCTATGAGGGGGCTGCAGTCGCGCAAAATGAGGCCTCACCAGTGAAGCTAGATGAGGGAGCAAGATAATGAGAAAATTTCTATTTTTGTCCCCCAAAACCCATTAAAAATCTGAATGTTTGCTGTCACCACTTATTAGTTGAGACTGGTAGGTACCTTCAGCAAAAACCACTCTTGGTTTGGACAACAATGACAAGGATTTGGTAAAAGTTATACAACCCATCATCAGTGCCTTGGGATCATGCAGGTGCCTGGGGTTTTAAAAATGCTGCAATACAGCCTATCCTTTTCTACTACATGTACATTTATCTAAAGCTGACTGGAATTCAATGGCGTATTAGAAATATCAATACTGCCTTTTTTTGAAGAGGGTACTGAAGGTGTGTGGAGAGGAAAAGGGGGGCTGTAGGCATACCTGTAGCTCCAGTCTAAGCTAGTGTGCAACATGTCACTGCCACACAGCGCTCCAGCAGGAGCTGCGCGTCACAGGGCCGCGCACATAACAGAAACTCTGCTGCGTCCCTTGGGACTTTTCGTGATGAAAAGGGTTGGAGAAATATTGCTGTCTAGGCATCTAAGCGGCTTCCACGTAAAACAGACTGAAAATAGCCTTTGCAGAGGCTCTCCCTTCCTCCCCGAGGGAGCTGACAGGAGACTCTGTTGATCATTGTGGTTTTAGAGTCCTTCTGGGAGACAAGCCCATGAAGGGACGCGGCCTAGGAGCAGGCAGTGGGAGGCAAGGGAAAGGGAGAGGGGGGATCCCACCACACTTACCACTGATAGAGCTGCAGAGGGGGCCAGAGCCGCATGTAGACAATATGGGGTCAGAGACACCGCTGCAGAGGACGGTGGGGGAATTGGGTGTCGACGTGGGCGAGCTTGGTGTGGACAGCCCCAGCCGTTCGGCTAATATGGTGGAACCTGCGACATGAGAAAAGAAACCCACAGTTACTTTTAAAAATTGGGGCTGATGAGACACTGGGGATATGTGGCAGGGAGTGGAGCTCTCAGCACTTGTCACGATTTGTGTCTCATCAGTATGAAATCTAGGGAAGACATAAAGGGAAAAAAAACCCTCACACGCCTTTTTAAATGCTAGCAGCTGGCCCTGAAGAGACACTGAGCTCCCACAGCCCCTGAAATTTGCTGGAGCTCCTTTAGTCATCATAACCCTTGGTTTCTGCCCTTAAATGTGTCTCAAGTCATTAAGTGCAGTTACTTTCCTTATGATTTCATGCTTATATGCACCCTCAGCACTATATCCAGCAATGGGCTTGTAGCCAGGAGAGGACACAGCCTGCAGTGGGGTAGGCTGGACTCCAGCACAAGAACGTATCACCTTGTCAGAGCACTCTACACTAACCCAGCGCAAAACTGCATAATCCCAGGCTCTGACAAATTAATGCAAAGTCACTCAAGGACTTCCTAGAGACAAGCATAGGGGTTTGGCAATCAGGAAAATTTAGCATTGCCCACTGCTCTGCCTCTTTACTAGGGTGGCCTCTGTCAGAGGCGGGGATAAGTCACCACAATGCATTTGGCTCTGGGATGAACAAGGACACCTCTCCCCCCGTTTAGGAATGTTTTCTTCACGACCTACATGTCTGAATGTGATGACTCAAGAGTACAGACCCCTTTCAAGACCCTTCTAGGTGCCCCCAGCTCCACTACCTCCTGCTCTCACTGCCCAACCATCACCTCGGTGTCAGTGTGGTCTGTCAGAAAAGCCAGCTCTGCCCCACTGCCTCTTTGGCACCCTCCCTCTGTCTCAGCCTCTTTCTTCTGCTGTTATAACAAGTACCTTAAAGCCCCTTCCAGAAGGGAAAAAAACGGGAATGCTTAAAACTCCAGCTGCTACAAAGGTTTTGTAGGGGAATGTCATTGTTAACGATGCAGCCTGGTGTTCAGTGAGACAGCAGCATACATGTGCATGAACCAACGTGTGGTGTCTTGGTGGTAAGAACTAGTTCTCCTATGGTTTTAAAGTTAAAGTTTCTAGTTCCTCAGCTGAGAAGAGAACCAGGGTAACTCCAAATCAGAACTAAAATGCTAAGACTTCTTCATGTTACCATATAAGGAGCCGAGAGACACAGAGGATTTGGATCCACAGTGTCCTCAATGAGTCGGAGGCTACTCTCCAGAGAAAAAGCAGCGGTAGGAGGCCAGGAAAACCCTGTGTGCCAGAAAGGTCCTTCAGTTCCTGTTTGCAGGGAGGCTACAGAGCCAAGGAGGACCGAACCTGGGAAGCAGGGCCTCCAAGTGCCAGCTGGGGATTGTGCAAAAAAAAGCAAAAGCAGCCAGTGCCAGATTCTCCTGCCCTTTTTAGCAGAACAAGACTGAGCAGTTTAAGTGTAGCACAGAGACTGAGGGGGGTCACATTTGGGTTGAAATCTGTTTTAAGGACTGCGTACGGGAGAAGCAGCAATTAGCTTCAGCCTTCAGTCCCTCAGTTTTACCCCTCTTCAAATGAGGAGCACTTTGCTCCCAGGCACAATCTGAAGTTGAATTAGCCTCCGTAAGGGGCTGGGGGGCTCTCACGCTTGAGATGCTGTAGAGAGGCACCTCCTTTATCACACAGACGGGAGCTGAGGCTGGAATTTAGCTCAGTAAATATGCAAAAAGAATGATGCAGCCTCCAATGACAGCCACTAGCAATGGCCCTTCCCCTCCAATCTGACAGATGACCGTAGCAGAAAACTTGCCTTGTGGGTAACACACACTGTAAATAGGCCCAGCAGGGTCACAGATTTCAGCTCGTTCACTGCACAGAGAACAAATATGAACACTGAGCAGCTGAACAAGTTTTTCAAGCCTTCCCTCTCCTCCCTACGACCTGGATACATGTCTTCCATTCAACTGACACACAGCACATATTGCATTTCTAACACCAACTTGGTCATTTCATTAAATGCAAAATGAAGACTATTAAGAGCATTTTTCTTCCCGGACTAACAGGACAATTTGGAGGTGCCCCAAGTGTCATAGAGTATGAACTGATGAAGCATGCTGGCAGCAGTGCAAACAGCCTGTCCACAGTGCAAGGAGAGCTCATCAGTGCAGGAACCGCAATCTTCTCTGGTTGTAGCTGGTCTGAGCCTTACCCAAGACCCAAGGGCCGGTACACACTTTCCCACTTCTTTCTCCTAACACAAGGCGCAGCTCTTGACTTTTCTCCAGCATCAATATAGAGCTTTGTTTAAAACAATCTGAGTTTCCTACCAGACAAGACACACGTCCCTTGGTGACAGAATAATCAACATAAGACACGTTACTCATGCTGTTAATATATTGCTGGATGGTGTGCAGATACCATGACAAGGAGCGTGGAATGAGATCATGTGCAGGGTGGAATGAGTGTGGCCAGCTTGGCTTAACTAAAACCAGATACATGTGCTCAAGGCCAAACACGATCATTGTGCGCACAGAGCTCCCACCAAGAGCTCGCTTTCAAACCATGATTTAAAAAAAAATAAAATCATTCTAAATAAATTAATTTAAATATTGATTTAGAAACATTCTTCCTCTCTCTAAACATCCCAGATAAATTGTCTCTGCTGCTAGCTTGTCTACTGCTTGATCTCAAACATGCTGAGCACACTGGAATCACCTTTAAATGGATTTTGAATCAATTCCATTTGCTCTTTTATCTTTGCAAAGTCCAATTATTAGCAAAAATCCAATGCAGATTGAGTCTTTCTCTGCACTTCTGTCATCACTGTGGGAGAGGTGCAAATAAATGAACCTATATGTCCACCCACAAACGGAAAGAGAGTATTATATTTTCAGTAGAAGAGAGCATTACCATGGAATGTACAGACAACATCATGCCAGGAAAGGCTGCTAGTATGCTAAAGGTTTGCAATTCAGAATGGTCTTGCCAAACTGGAAATAGGATCAGAAATAAACGGGATGCTATTCAATACGATCAAATGCAAAATGCAGCACTTAAGCAGAGATAATCGGCTACCCAAATACAGGACAGGGAATTAGCCCATTCAATTAGAAATACAGCTGTCCTACAGAAAAAGGCCTGGGGATTGCTGGAGGTCACCAGATGATCATAAATCAACAATGCTGTCCTGTTATGAAAAGGTTGTGCCAATCCAGGGTCATACGAGGCTGGTTAAGGACTGGAGCAGGAGCCTGGCGGCACTGTGGTATCTGTCCCTGGAAATACTCAAAACTCAACTAGACGTGGTCTTGTGCTAACTTGGAAGTTCGCCATGCTTTGAGCGAGAGGTTGGATAAGTTAATTCCCCGGGGGTCCCTTCCGACCTAAAATGTTGTACGATTTTAAGAGGGTAACGTTTTTCACAGGCTATTAAAAGGAGAGAAGAAACAATCTGTTCTTCGTGAAAGTTCTGGGTAAGACAAGAAATTATGGGTTCAGACTCCTAAGACATTCAGGTTAGACATTATGTAGATAGTGAAGCACTGTAAAGCAGTCAGACTTCCTAGAGAGACTATGGCATCGTTATCATTAGAACTCTTTAAGAACAGGAAGGGGAAGTAGGTAGTCTCTTGGGATCCCACCCAGCATTTATGATTTTTATGAGAGTAGTTATCTGGATCCATAATTGCCCTTTTATAGAACATCCTAACTGTGACCAAAATACAGCATCTGTGGTCCTCAGAGATGCTTTTAGCTCTCTGTGTCTACTGTGGTGAAAAGGGTGGTTTCCCAGAACAATGCAATCCACTCTCAGGGGATATCTCCTGAGGCTTTCCCAACTTTTAAGCAGACATCTTTTTGCTGCTCTTAATGCCAGCTGTCGGGGGAGAACTGTGCCACTGTAGGATTTACGTTGGTAAGAAGGCCAGATATAAAGTCAATACTCCCTAAAAATACTGAAAATTTTCAATTAACTCTCCCCCTCAATTAATTTATAAAAATATTATTTCTACATTTCTTTCTCATAACAAAGTGATTATGTTGAACTGTGTATTACTGTATAGGCCCCAGAGAGAGAATTGGAAAACAACCACAACAACAAAACCAGGTGGGAAGAGCAATGTGCTGCCTCTATTCTCCTTCTGTGCATGCTTAGGGGCACTTGTTACGATGCAATTAAATCCCCAGAGCACCGCTGTGGCCTAGAGCAGGCAGTAGCTGCCATGAGTCTGTGCCGCAGCTATTCCCAACCCATTGCTAGCAAGCAGTATCTTAATACTCCCAGATTCAAACTACAGCTGAGATAGACAGAAAAGTAGAGTAATGCCAAAAAGTATGTTGCTTCCTTATTACTGTCGACTTTGGAACACTGCAGGTTGGGAAACTGCCAGTTTAAGGTGTTCGTAACACATTTCTTAATCTGGTATCTATTCTTGAGAGAGGTGATAGAGGGGCAGGGCCATTCCTGGGACTCAAATAATGACAACAGGGCTGAACTGCATCAGATTATGAACAACATCCATCAGCCAGTGAAAAGTACCCATTAACTTCTTGAGATTTGACCAGGGTATTCCTCATACTGTCCCAGTGTGAGGAGAAGTATTCATGTTCACAAGGAGACAAAAGCAAGACAACTCATTTTACTAAATCTCTGTCTCCTTCTCTTATCCCTTCCCCCCTCATAATTAAATTCAACATTATATAGTCCCATTGCACTTTTTCAGATCTTAACCCAGAAGGCCTGCAAGCACAATGTTTCCATCAGAGCACCGGGACTGTGCCTGTGGAAATCTTGCAGAAACCAGGCTCCAGAGGCTGAAAATGTGTGCTGCTTTGAAGCGGAAATGGGGTATTGCATAGTTTGGAGACTTTGCTTTTAAGGTAGAAAAGAAACAAATGAGCAATACCCAGTGTTTGCTGGCTGCAAACAGGAATGCATATCATGACTTCTGCCCCCAGAATGCTGTCTGGCAATACCAAACACCATCTCAGATGTTTCACTCACCTCCTGCTATTTGCATTACCTGTC